GCAGAATCCGCAAGAGATAATACCCTCATAACAATTATTGAAATGACAAATCCTTTTGCTGCACCATTAACGGTTTATACGATGGATTCAGATTTTTCAGTTAATGGAACGACACTTGGATCAATATCACTAGATCTAAAAGATCAACCGATCTTCGTTCCAGGCAATTCCACTTCAAAACTTAGATTTGATGTTAAAATGTTACTTGACCCTATATCATTGATTTCACTTACGAGAAATTTAGCTATAGCAAAGGGCATGGATGTTACGGTGCTTGACTTTTATATTGGAGCACTTCGTTTAAATGTTCCTGGAGTTAATGCTAATGCAATACCTACCAATGGAACTGATATTACAACCTTTATTAAAACAGCATTAAAGGAAATTCCCGCACATGTCAATTTAAAAGCTCAAGCTGCAATTGGTGAATATTTTCTACCGTCGTTCGAATATCAACAAGATGTTACCGCAGAAACAGATGATACCATAGTACTTTTGCTTTTTTCATTTATATTTCCGCAGGGCAAATGATTCCATAATATATATGCTTCTTCAATTCTGAATCTGAAATAGAGATTTCAATTTGTTAAAATAATATAATAGATGGATATGAATTTATTGAATGTTGCTTAATTTGTAGTTTTTTTTTAAAAAAAGAAAAAATAATTTAATCTTACGACCATTTACTTAATTTCTTCCTAATTATAATTTAATTTACGTTATATTTTCTACCGATAAAAATATTTAATTTCATAATAATAAAAGAAATTTTTTTTTTTCTGCCAGTCAAATATCATCATCTGTTGATCAAAAGATCTCAAATTAATATAAATATACCATAAAATTATGCGATTCTCTCCAAATTCTAATGTCTAACGTTTATGGTATATCTTTCTTTTAATATTTCTACATCATAGGTACTATAAAACTAACATTTCATAATTTATTTAAAAAGAAGTGACCTCGCTTTATTCAATTGACACGGAATACAGTGCAGATTCTGT